TTCAAACTTAAGGTAAATAATGTTAGCAAAACATAAAAACAGATAATATCCAATATTGTTCTGTTCTCATAATAGATCTTCAGTAGAAGGAAAAAACACTACCTCACTCAAACAGGAATAAATCACAAGACACATTTTCACATGGATGCTTTAACATTAAATTTTTATCCACCCACAAAGTCTTAAAACTTGAGACTAGATTACACATGAATATATTTCCTTACGAAATCTGATTAACTGGAATCAAGACAAAATTGTGATAAATTAAAGACAATTATTTTAAAATCCATACCAAGAAACAAAGGAAACTCCATTAGTAAAATGGGATTTGCAGTATTTTAATACAGATATGTAAGTGTAGGTGCTATATACTTATTTTTAATCTTTCAAAATCAAGTTGTGTGTGTGCGTGTATATATATTTATAATACTGTAAGATGCAGAGTACGTGTGTTTGTATATATATATATAATAAAATTAAACAAAATGACACTCTTCTAAATATCTGATTAGAGAAACAAGCAACACTAAATTAAGATAAAGGGAATTATTAGGCAGGCAGTGCAGCTAATTAGGCAGGCAACATAACAAGATGTGAGCTCACAGTGCAGCTATGTACAATGGGGAGTAATACCACTATTCAGAGGCTGATATAAGAATTAAATGAAGATAATGCATTTATAGCCACTTGGTAAAAATCCAAAAGTTTGTTGGTGAGACTGGAGGGTGGGGGCACAAAACAGGTAATTTTCATTCACTGCACAACCTATCAAAATGACATAGATCATAGGCCGGCGAGGTGGCTCACGCCTGAATCCTAGCACTCTGGGAGGCCGAGGCAGGCGGATTGCTCGAGTCAGGATTCGAAACCAGCCTGAGCAAGAGCGAGACCCTGTCTCTACCATAAATAGAAAGAAATTAATTGGCCAACAATAAATATATAAAAAAATTAGCCGGGCATGGGCGCATGCCTGTAGTCCCAGCTAGTCGGGGGCTGAGGCGAGAGGATGCTTGAGCCCAGGAGTTGAGGTTGCTGTGAGCTAGGCTGATGCCACGGCACTCACTCTAGCCTGGGCAACAAAGCGAGACTCTGCCTCAAAAAAAAAAAAAAAAAAGACAATAGATACATTATAGCTAATTATGTACCTATATACTTATATATAGTATTCACTGTAGCACTGTTTGTAATAGCAATATTGGAAACAATATGACTACCCTTCAGTAAAGAATTGATTAAATAAATGTTACTTCCCTATAAGAAACTATTATAAATTTTTTAAAAATCCTTATATAGAGAGAAAAGTTCCATGATAAATCATTGAGAATAGTATGTATAATTACCTACCATTTTGAGTAAAAGAGAAAGAGAAATTCATATTAATTTGAATATAAAACCAACCCCTAAAGTTTAATTAATACTAATAATTACCTACTGGTGATGAAATGAAACACCGCCTGAATATAGTCAGCCTCAATTAAATGGAAGCTGTAATTTACTCGACCCATCATCATTATTATCATCATAATAATGAAACATATCCTTAAATATATAGTCAAACTAAATCCATAATGAGGTAAAAAGCCAAATCTCGATTATTCACCCAGCGGACTATCTACTGGAAACCAAGCCTTTCATTTCCTCTTCAAAGGTAAGTAGATTGGCCATTTACTGTCTGGCTGATCACTTTCATCAGAAAGTGAGCTGAGAAAAAATAAAAAACTCCTGGTAATTTATTCTTCTTGTTTTTTTTATTTGAGACAAGAGGTCTTCAGCTATCCATGCAACCTGAGGCAGAGATGCAGTCGGCATCACATAGCTCACCATGGCCGACTCAAAAGCTGCGCTCAATTGTGAATCTCTGTCTCTCAAGCCTCCAGTACTAGGCTACAGGTGTGCCACCACACCAGCCTAATTTTCATTTTTGGCGAGATAAGTCTTGCTCTTGCTTCTGCCCAGGTTTGGTCTCAAGACTCCTGGGCCTCAAGCAATGCTCCCACTTCAGGCCTCCCCAATAATGCTAGGGATGTGACAGGAGTGAGCCACTA